TGACGTTGTCACACCCAATCGAGTTAAACCCGCTTACTTGGACTCTTCTCTGACGGACCCTGTGCTCCTGCACCATCTATCAGCCGTCACACCTACGCAAGTAAAAGCCTCCGTCAAATCACCGACTCCCCAAAGGACCGTGACGTGGGCCACAACCACACGGGTCGCTCCACCAGGGGGGGGGGGGGGGGGGGGGGGGGATTCTGTGGCAGAGCCGACAGATGCCTAACCACACGGGTTGTAGAAAATAGGGTGCCTTCATGTGCGTTTCGCACAGAGTCATGCCAACTGCCTGTTTCTCTTTCCCACGCCCTCTTCCACCGCCATTTTGTTCCTCTCATTAGGGAGTTTTCGTAGACCGCGCTGCCCCCTCCGCTAAGCGTTCCGCAACGAAAACGTTGCTACTGCGCCTGCGCGCCGTTAGCCTTGACTGTGGAGATCCCGCTATCGTAGCGGGTTGCGGAGGGCCTTGCGGGACGGCGAAAACGATCTACGAAAACTCGCTATTGTTTCCCCGTGCGCCGTTAAGTGACCTTTGTATCCATCGGTCCTCCCATCCTAGGGGGAAAATGCTAATCCTCCCTCCGTGGGTTGCACAACGCTGCTCCGAACTTGTGAGATACGGTGCTTGTTCCCGGGGGGGGGGGGGGGGGGGGGGGGGGGGTGATAAGCCCCACGGATTATCGCCGAGAACCAAAATGGCTGCTGGTTTGTCGGCGAGTGGTATTACAAAGGGTGGCATCATCCTAGCAAAGCGCGCATGAAGGCTCCCTAGCAGAAAACACCCGAGTGAATGTACCTCCAGTCTAAAAACAACCGAGGCTCCACTGCGCCAAGCACGGTGCCGGTGTGCGCGCCAGCTCACGCTACTGCGTGGTCTCGGAAGCCGCGAGAAATAAGAGATTATATGCCTTTTGTCTAAGCTCTGAGCCGGACGTCCCTTTCCTCCTCCGGCGCTTTCGAACACACCGCCGACAAGCCTCTGCCCATTCGCTGGTCGATTTCGGGCGCTCTAAGTACACTCGGCTGGTTCTTTCCATATGGGTCTTTCAGAGCGCTCTCATATTGTTAGATCGCGCCCTCCTCTGCCTCGTAGCGCTGTGAGACGCGGCGCCGCAGGCCTTCCATGGTACGCATACGGGCCACGTGCCTTTCTGCGGCCGCCGCGGTTCTCCTGAATCAAAATAATAATAATTATTATTATTATTATTATTACTTAAGTAAGGCTTTTGACGTAGTCAATCACATTATTCTTTTATCCAAACTCTGGCGCTCTGGCGTTCCTCAGGGATCTGTTTTAGGACCCCTTCTGTTCACAATTTTCGTAAATGACGTCTCTTTTGCTGTTTTAAATTCTTCATTCCTGCAATATGCTGACGATATAAAAATTTATCGAGAAATAGTTACTGAACGTGATTGTGCTAAGCTCCAGGAAGATGCATGTTCTTTCTACCGATGGTGCTCTGAAAATGACCTTTTCTTGAACCCGTCCAAAACCAAGGTCATGGCGCTCTCTCGGAAAACTCACAATATCTCTTTTGCATATAATATTCAAGGAGAGACTTTGTCTCGAGTAAGTGTAATGAAAGATCTCGGAGTCATTGTTGATTCTGGGTTGCGTTTCTCTGATCACGTTGGTAGGCTGGTTAACTCGTTTTTGCGAATGTTGAATGTTGCCTCTCGCTTAACCAGGGAGTTCAAAAACCCGACGGCTTTTATCACGTTATACTGCTCGCTATCCAGGTCACAGTTAGAATATGCCTCAGTTGTTTGGAATGGAATTTCTAAAAGTCACTCATTGGAGATCGAGCGTGTGCAAAAAAAGTTTGTTTCTATCTTTAAACATCGCTACATAAAGGAGGATGTTCACTGTTTAACATATGAGTCTGCGTTAGAGCGTGTTGGTTTGCTTAGCTTGCACCGGCGTCGGGAGAACGCGGACTTACTGTTTTTGTTTAAAACGCTGCATGGACTCATCAATTCTCCGAGCCTGTTATCTGAACTGTGCCTTAGGGTCCTAGGTGTACCTACTCGTCTTCTGTCATCTTTTTATGTTTCTAGAACGTTTAGTCCGGTAAACCCAATTGTGAGAATGGCTCAGCGTTTGAATCATTACTCTGAAAAACTTGATATTTTCAACCCTTGCTACAGGGCGTTTGTCCTTTCTATTAAAAACTTGCCCGTGCAGGATGAGCATTGCTGAATTGCTTTGTTATGTCTGAATGTCGTCATCTCCATGTCGTGTTTTCTGGTGGTGCACTTGTTGTCCTTCGGTCTTGTGTTCCGTCTCTACTGTTACTGCCTCGTTTTTATTTCATTGTACTAATTACTCATGCACTGCCTAGTATTATGCTAAAAATGTATCTTATTTTCTGCGGAGATGTGTATAGTGTGTGTTTTTTTTTTGTTTTTTTGTTTTTTTTTATCTACCAGTGTACCAGCACCAAGACCTCAGGGTTGTTCCTGGGCACTTTATAATAAAGATTGATTGATTGATTGATTATTATTATTATTATTATTATTATTATTATTATTATTATTATTATTATTATTATTATTATTATTATTATTATTATTATTATTATTATTATTATTATTATTATTATTATTATTATTATTATTATTATTGGTAGCCTGCCACCGCCTGCGTTCGCGGCGCGAAGGGGAAGCCCTGATTTTGGTTTAATTCACTTTAGTCTTAGTAAAAGAACAATGGATGGGTGCTCGCAAGACGTTAGTCACGCTCCCCTCGATCCGGCAAGTCCTCGCCACAGTCTTGAAGAAGGACATCCTGCCAGATGCAGTACTCGGCAGAAAACCTTTCGAGCTCAAGCTGAGATGCTTCAAACTTCTCCTTCAGGGTGTCCGCTTCCTCCACCTTGGCACCCACAAGCTCCAGCTGCTTTGCCAAATCCCCACTTAGAGAAACTAACTGGGCTTTCAAAACTTCGGACTCCTGATGCTTGGCACGAGAAAATTCGGCTTGCTGCGCTTGCATCTTCCCCAGGAGAGCCGAAGCTGCCTTGCACTCGCTTTGAAGGGCCTGCTCACGGCCAAAGCTCGCTTTGATATTTTTCTCGTGCTCCAAAGACATTCGCTGCATTTCTGCCTTTGCCAAAACCAACTCTGAAATCAGGCTTTGCCCCTCTTTGGGGCGAGATGCCAGCGTGCCCTTTTTTTTCTCTGACCGCCTCTCCAACTCTGTCCCAGTTAGCGCAAGCTTGGATTTGAGCAGTTCGAAGTTCTCTACGGATGCCACTGCCTCTTTACTTTGTAGCTCTTCCACCTGGGTCTTCGAAATATCATAAATGTATACGCTTTCGTACCGTTCTGTTGCTTTGGTTGGTGGAAAAGGCCCAATTGTTATGCCTCCCAAATGGATCGTTTCATTGGGGTCATTGTTCATGGATGAGTTGGAAGTTTCTTCTACTACAGAAACACGTCGATATCCGTAGGTTTTCCGCTGTGTGTGCTTGCACATTCGGGAAAAATGTCCAAAATTTTTACAGGAAAGGCAGTGCTTTCCGTAAGCTGGGCAGCTTCTGGGTTGATGGGAAGTGCCACATCTCGAACATGAACTTTGCTGTCGGTTGCTGCATTGGTCTTTTTGTGGTTCGGATGGTTGATACCTTCCGTTGCGCCGCTCTGAAGCTAGATGGCTGACGATAGAGTCCATCAACTCTAACTTCGTCTACAGTTTTCTAAATATCATTCACGTGTTTTTTTGTTTTTTTTTTAGATTTCAGCTGTTTTACAGGTTGAAATGATTTTTTTTAGGGTTAGACTCGGTTCACGAAACAATCGTTCGCGCCAAGCCACGTCTGTATCCCAATGATGATACGATCACCAATGAACCAGTTTTCTTGAGCTCCGTAATCGCATTTCTGAGCCTGCAGTTTTAGCTCAGTTACAAATTCGTCAATGGTTTGTTCTGGCTTTTGGCTTATTGTGTTAAAAATGGCTGTAGCTTGTGTGACGCTTTTGTAAGTCGGAAATTAAAAACAGCGCGGAAAGACGAGGACCATGCAGACAAAGAAGTGACACGGACGTAGCGCCCGTCTTTCCGCACTTCTTTGTCTGGCCCTCGTCTTTCCGCGCTGTTTTTAATTTCCGAAGTATGTACCAACTCGCCCAAGCCTCAACTTTAGCTTTTGTAAGGTGCATACAGTTTATCAAATTCGTGCAGTACGTAATCTACTGCATTCTCTCTTTGCCCGCTTTGACCATCTCCCGTTAATTGATTGCAGAAGAAAGGTTGGCGTAATTCGTCTCGCCTGAGGTAAAAGGCACTGAAACAGAAAAGCTTTCCGAGTTGCGGTAGGCTTGGATGCATATTCACATGCTGCCTCGAAGATAAGGTACGATGATTTCCACTCCTCCCATCCTCTTGCTGGGTCGTCACCAGGCTGGAACGGAGCCGGCGGTTGTAGGAAAGCAGATGTCATATTGTTGCTGCTGTTGCTTGTTTAATGAAAAACATGGACGTTGAGGTGCTCACCACTTCCGACACCATGTTATGTTGCTAGTTAAGCTCAGGAGGATGGTTTAAGCAAACTGTTTAATAAGTAGCATACGGGATCAAAGCAGCAGCTGTGGCGATTGCTCGTCAGTTCCAAACGCAACAGCGCGTGCCACCTCCTGCGAGCGTGCTCACTGGATGTCCTCGTCTTCTAAGATCAGGGAGCCTCATGACATCATAACATCTGTATTTTTGCTTCGTGTTGTCTTACTTACTCTGTCCTTGTCTTCCGGAGCATTTTGTCAAAATAAGTCATGTACCAACTGGCCCATCTGTTACTATAATGCTGTATTTTTGGGCAAAGCGATCTCCTGCAAGTTACAACGTTACAACAGACTCATTTGTATTGTCCCTTATCTTCCTCCTGAGCAGCCAATTAGATGTTTCCTTTGATTTCTTGCAGAAAAGAAAGAAAAAAAGAAGCGACAGAGGCGCGTGGCACAAGGCTCGTGACCTGTCCATGACTCCATCCAGTGAGGGAGGCCATGATCCGGCAGCTGCAAGTCCCGAACGCAGCGGCCTGCGCGACGACGGGCAATAGACGAGCAGACAGTCTACCTCCGGGACTGTCCGGGCTGCCTTCCGGTCCGGCGGTCCCAGATCCAGGCGGCGACCGGGGCGAGCCGTCCCGGATTCCGGACAAGCTGGGAGAGGACCCCGGACCCCGCTGTCCCGAAGATAAGCGGTCCCGGTTGTCCCACTTCCTCAAGCGCCTCCGGGGCGGGCTTTTGCGGTGAGCACAAGCTAATCGATGCGACCGGGGACAGATGGATGAATTCCCACGGCTTCTTGATCGGGCGGCCGCTTGCGCAACCGAACAAGTCTTTTCTTTTTTCTTTTTTTTTTCCTAGATGACATTTCGAACGTAACTGCCTTTGCCTGTGCTTGTCCAAGATTGATGGCATTTGTTTCTTTCTGTCTTTGAGCTGATCGAGAGGAGAGGATTTTGCACGAACTTTGGGGTAATCTAAACAAAACCGGTCGGGAGATGAGTGCGGTTTGAGGACCCAACCGGATTTCTCCCAGGATTAGAGCGGCGGGGTTTCAGATGTCCAGAGCGTGCCTGCACATGAGAGCGTCAAGAGCACGCACGCCCAGCCAAAGCAAAACCGAAGGCGACTAACGCGTCTCAGGGAGACACTGTTTACACCCTACCGGTGACTAAGGCTTCGTTACATTTGTAGCGCATGTCTTACGCAAGCAGAGTAATCCAGCATTTTCGAAAGAACTCCGAAAACTGGGTTGGAGGATTTCTTGAATGAAACAATGAGCGCCGAGGAAGGAGAGGAAAGCTTCGGACAAACTTGGGAGTAAACGATAAGCAGCCGCTGAGGGTGCTCATTCTGTCATGGCAGCGGAACCAACAAGATCTAGCGTCCTCGGGCCACGGCCGGACAGGATGCGCGCTCGCTGTCTTGCGGTCTTTCCATTGGAGCATGACTGCACCTATGGTTGAAAATCGGCAACGTCACTCAGTTGTGTGGAAGTGCCAATGGGCGGCCGGGAGCTGCGCCTTTTTGGAGGAAACAGCTTCAGGCCGGTGCCATTTTCAGCGTTCTTGCGTGCTGGGTTGTGGAGATCTCGCGCTCGACTCTCGGTCTATAAACATTGGAATGGTGTATGCCCGGGGTCTGTGGCTGTGGACCCTTTTACTGTTTTACCGAGCGCCTTCTGGCCGCTCCCTCTTCGCAAACCCGTGGAGTTTGCTTACGTCAGCAGTGCAAGCATAAATGCTACCCAGACGACAAAGTCGGAGATTTAGCCAGGGTCTTCGGTTGTGCGACTTAGCGTCTTAAAGGTGACCTGTAGGTTTACGAGAATATGAGAAAAATGTGAACAGGTATAGTGGTTCTTGACTCCTTTTGCGTTCACCTGAAGAATTGGTGGTTACATCTGTCGTAGACGTTTCGAAGCAGCGTTGTCGAAGTGGCTTATGTTCATTCTTTTTGAGAGCCTATTTACGTCCCTGAGTCCTCGGGGCTTTTGTTTGCGCCTTGGCGTCCTCGACCACGCCGTAGAAGGCGCAATGTATTATGTTTAGTGTCCCTGCCGACACGGCTGTGGTCGAATTCATAGACGCTTTCCAAGTGGCCGATGGTCTCAGTGGTATTCAGTAAAGAACCACCGAACCCGCGAAGCCATCGGGTTGTCTGCTAGCAAGGAAAAACCGGTTGTGGAACTGCATTACGGGCTTTTGTCACCGCTTTATGGTACTGAGACGATAGCAGAAGTCTCCATAATTAGATGGTGAGAAGGCACAATGCTTTAAAAAAAATCATTTACTTTTTTATCTGACAATTTTTAACCTCGCGTCTAGCCCCCACGCATTTGTCCATAACGGCCCTAGCAACGATTTTGTTTAGAGCGCAGAGCGCCATGTTGTGACGTCATCACTTACGGAGTTAATAGCGCCTAGGAGACGAGGCCTGCGTATGACGTCATCGTCGGTAGATCCCCGACCCGCCCCAAGCACGTGGTGACGCTCGTCAAGAGTGGCCGCGGCAGACGTGTCCGTCTTGGAGTGATCGCCTGCTTGCGTCGCACTCGATATGAGACGCTGTGAAGCGCTCTGGCGGCAACGTTGTTAGATCAGCTCAGTTAAAGAACTGCTCATAGACGCTGGTTGCACGGGCAGTGCCCCCCATCAGTGACCACGACTCTCCTCCCATCGTTCGACGCGCCGGACGGCTGCTATGGTAAATGTAGTTAGTGTATTTTATGGAATCCGTACGTTTCGAAGCACAGCGTTAGATGGCGTTCCACCGTACCCTATAGGACACACAGTTATTATACAAAAGTCTCCATGGCGCTTCAAACGACGGGAGGCGGACTGAAGCAAGTGAAGGAAGGTATCCCCTTCCGCGGGAGTTCCACAACGTTGGCTGGCGGCGATGCTGACGCGACCTCGCTGCTTGAACGTGACGTTTGGGGATAAAAGGCTTTGTCCACTATAGTCCGTTGCAACTCAAGAATGTAGGGCGAGGGTAAGACGGGCCAGGGAGGAGGAAACAGACGGAACGCTGGAGAAGAGAGGGGGAGACCTCCTTTTCTCTTTAGCGTTCCGTCTGCTTCCTCCTCCCCGGCCCGTCTTACCCCCGCCCTACCTTCTTGAGTATGGTGCCGGGATCGCGTCTTCGACTAGTGTGTTTACCGCGCCCCAAAAGAGAGGTCCTTCAATTTCCGCTTGATGACATTATAGAAGTGTCGTGCTGTCGCCGGTCGCGATCCTGGCGGTGTCCCACCAGTGGTAATTGATGTGGCAGACGCCTGTTCTGCTGCAGGTCGCTCTCCAGTGTGGCAGTTCACGGTAGCTTCGGCAGCCAGAAATTGGGACGCCGCGACGGCAGCGACACTCGCGTTCGCTCGTGCTTTTCGCCATCACTTTTAAGACCAACTGCCAGGATCGCGTCGTCCGACAGCAGAACACTCCAGCTTTTGTGAGGTTATTTGGTGACACTTTGGGGCTGCTGTTGATGTATGGCTAGGAGATGACGCTAAACAAACCAGTCGGAGACGCGATCCAGGCACCTTAGTAATGGTTTAATGCCCGAGGAACTTTTAGTAAACACCCCGTTGCTTTTTGTTCGACAATGTTTTGAAGACTGCTCCGGTTTCCAATCCGTGGCCCCCACAAGGACCGGCAGAACAAGCCACGTGGTTCCTGGTGGGACGCGGCCCTGAGTCGCGTCAACAAGATGGCATCCAGGATCCAGGCGCTCGTGCTGGCCCGCGGCGTGTCAATGGACAGACAGACAGCCCCGGTGTCTCGCTACAACACGCTCCGCTCGGACGACGAGTGGTCCACCACCCTGTCGCCCGTGGAGGTCCCGAGGAGCTGGGAGGGCCCCTGCGGCGCCGCTCTCTGAGGGCTCGCCGCTGTGCATGCTCGTCGAGGACATTTTAGCTCGCTCCAAAACGCCGTTTTGAGCCCGTCCATCGCCCGTCTCTTTCTAATTATTTCACCTATGTATCATTGGACAGATAATATTATATTCGCCAATAAATTTTATCGCAAAGCCACGAACGGCTTTGAGTTGCTCGGTGCTGACACTCCAAAGCGTACTCTTCCCGCCAACTACGCGACAAAAACATAAAATGGCGAAGTATAAACCCTTTTCTTTGCAGACGGCACCAGGCGGTGCTCCAGTCTTTGACACCCTAAAGCACCTTCATGTTTCAAAAGTAGCGCAAGGTTCGTCGATGCACGAGACACGTGCAACGTGCAGCCCTTGGGAAAATCATGGCGGCACAAGGCAGCGCTGAGTTAGATTTCAGACCATGAATGTCCCAGAAGGGGCGTGCGGCACGTGCCTCGAGCATTTTCACGACAATGAATGGCGCCACTTTTCCCAGGATAGGAGTGCTACCTTGCGCTACTTTTGAAACGTGAAAGGGCTTCATGACACCCCAGCGAACCTTCGGTTGATAAAAAAAAAAAAAAATTAACAAAGACCATCTTAAAGGGGTGGTGTAACGATATTCAATTGGAATGTTTTCACTTCACACAAGATTACTGACACTATTAGCGGCGAGATGTTAAGGTGGCGCCCTTGTATGGTTCCCTCTCGTGACGTCATGACCTTGCGATCAACGAGTTGGGTGGTGTTTGTAATGAGCATGGTGGAAGCTTGAAATCATAGCGATCTGAAGCCAACACCATCAAAATTGAAGTTCATATATTCCTCTTATTTCCGTCGATGAGAAATCCTTTGCTGACGTCGTAGTCAGCATTCGGCCAATTGTGGCAGACCGACCACAGCGACGCTTTCGATCGCGCACGTCGTCAATACTTCACCTCTAGATGCATGGACTAAGAGCGAAACAAGCGCCAGCGGTAAGCCTCGACTGCCTTGACTGGAGCCAACGTTACTAGATTACCTCAGTTGTGGAACTCAAGCGGAAGGGGGCACCCCCCCCCCTCACTTACTTCAATCCGCCAAGTGTAAAGCCCCTTGATAAAAGCGTTTTTGACAAGTACCGCCAACCATTGTTGTGGAAGCGCGCGAGACACGTGCCATGAGCGGGTGCTCCGCCGCCATTCGCTTCCAAGGCCCGCTCATTTCAGTGCTGCGCCGCCATTTGCTTCCAAGGGCCGCTCGAGACATGGGCCTCGTGCACTCGCGCATTTGACGCTACTTGTAAGACAAACGCAAACACATCGAGGGGCTTTAACCAAGTGTCGTTCGAAGCGCCATCTAGATTTTCGTTTCATAACTGTGCGTTCCAAAGAGCAGAGATGAAGCGCCATCTAGACGCCGTGCTTCGAAACGTACGTAGCGATCCCAGCGATCCTGACCCGATTTCCCCGTGCCCGATTCCCATAGAATACGCTGCAGTTACCAAAGCAGCCGTCCGGCGGCGCGTGGAGCGACGCTTGGCGAGTCGTGGTGAGTGAGGGGGGTATTGTTCGTGCATGCAGCGTCTATGAGCAGTTCCGTAACTGAGCTAATCTAATAACGTTGACTGGAGCACTCGCTGCACGAGCGCTCGTGCAGCCACCGAAGCTTCGTCTAACAATAGTCCATGCTAAGGTTAGACTAGAGTCAATGGTTTTCTTCCCAAAAAATTGTTAATAGAGTCGCTCTATTCAACAATTTTCCGGTTCGCTGCGGCATCATTGGACAGTGGTAGTCAAGTGAGTCGCTATCATCATCGCGTTTTTTTCAACGTTACCATCTTGGATCCAGCGATCCGCTGCCTGCATCTGTTTTACTGTTTCCTGCGCGCGCACGCTGAAATCCGTCACTCAGCAAGCATTTCTTCCTTCTTACGTCGAGATACGAACAACACGACCTTGATTCGCTGCCACAACCGCGGCTACGGCAGCTGGCGGAGGCGACGGCTACAGCTCGACTTGGCTCAGCTACAGTCACCCCTCCATCTGCGCGTAAACCCAAGATGGCGGCGCCTGACGCGCTTCAGACGCGTAGTTTGGGAGTTTCCGTACTCTGAAAGCGTAGATTTATTTAGTGACTCTAGGTTAGACAAAGTATAGTGGTACCCCAGTATATTCGAACGCAACGTCATTGACGAAGGAACCTGTTTTTGTTGCGTAATTTCAAGCCTAAAAGCGAGCGTTTTCTTTCAGTCCCTCCGCAAACCTGGATGACGTAGCCTGGGGGTCGGGTCGCAGTGTCAATGCGGCTCACAGATTGAGCCTAGAGTTCCTGTATAGCTACCTACGGTAGCAGAGTTGCGCATTCAGCCTCGGCGAGTGGCCGTAGCGCCGGCTTTCCCGCACGCCCTGGATGCTTTGCTCCTCACGTGACTAAATTTGGCGAATAGCGGCGCCGCGCGCGCCGCCGCGCATGGAAAACAGGAGAGGAGGAAAAGGAGGCGGAAAGCAGGGGAACATACGCCGGGGCGCGAGAAACGTCGGCGGAGCGACCGTAAAGGTGGCTTTCTTGCACGTCACCGGATGCTTTGCTCCTCACGTGATGGATCTCGGCGAAAGGCGGCGTGGCGGCGCGGGGAAACCAAATGCGCAACTCTGGCTCCCGTAGGGAGCCTATACAGGAACTCTAATTGAGCCCAAGCATGGCGTGAGCACTCGATTTGGGCTCGTAATAATCGATAGCTCGACAAGCATTCGGACAGTGGCTCGTGTCCAATCGGTGCTTGTGCAGAGCTGAGGCAACTGCCGATCGTCATGATTCAAAAGTGAGACTTCTTCAGCGTTATATTCGGTGTTAGGAAGCTCATGTAATATTGCTTTGCTCTGTTGCGTACCGTTGACATATTTGTGGAGGGCGGAGAGGCGTTTCCTGTGATTTCAGGTATAGTCACACATATAACTAGCGACCCTGATTTTAAGACACAACATGGGCAAGTTTCGTTACTCTGAAGCAACTTTACTTCTGACTCTGAAGCGTAGCTTATTGTGGCACTAGCTCCTCCTACAGCAATGCAGAAAAGTGCAGGGCAGTCTACTTCCGGTATGTGTACACCGCCCTATACTTTTCTGCCAGGAGGTGGAAGTCACTGACCTCCACTAGAGGGCTGGATGGCGCATTGACCGAACTAGGAAGGCTGTAATGAGAGTGGGCGAAACTCAAAACCTGAAGGGCGTTTGCAATTTAAAGGCTGCGCCTGAGGGAAAAGATAGGGAAAGGGTATGCGCCAATGTTGCCTGCACGAGAGCAGACGCCCGCTCTGTTGCAACTCAGTTGCTCCATGTGTCTTTCCTCCTCTCGCCTCCCATTGCAAGCAACGAACGCCGTGGCGCAGCCTTTCTCGCTTCCTTCTTTCTCCGGGAATCGCAAACGTCGAGAGGAGAAAGCAGGGTTGCCAGACAAGCCGCAACGTCCAAGATGGCGGAATTTACCATTTTTTCGCGTTAAACAAATACTTAATATATCGGAACAGAACTGGTGGAAAAGTACTCATTTATGCCTTGCGTAAATTATTCGAGCACATTAATGGGCTCTTATGACCTAAGTTAGGAAATAAAACGACCCTTTGCCCCGTAGACTCCCAGCAAAATTTAGCAACTAAATGCCGTCCATATCCCGTGATAACCATGGCTATGTGCCAAATCTACTCTAATGGATCACATGGCAACACAACTCGAGTAACTCTGTGAATCAAAGGAGGTTTTCGAAAACAAAAGTACAAGACTGATGGCGCAGACAAGCTGATGTAGAGTTACCATTTTCTTGAACCACCTGAGAATGGGTGCAGACCTAGAAGAACCAAAAGGGAAGGAACAGAAAGACAGAAGGCATCGTCTCAAGCTGAGCTTGGAACTTTTGAGGTAAATTCACGCCCGCCGGGCCTTCGTAGTTTTGGCAGTTTTCGACATTCGGCACCAAGGCAATCAAATCGGCAGTGCTTACAGTCAGGGGGATCTCGGACCCCCCAAGGATTTCGGCAGAGGTCTGAGACCCCTCTGGGAGGTAGATCAAACCATCGAGCCCCTAGCGGCGAAGTTGAGGACTAAACCCATGGGTACAACATGAATTATTTGGGCGTGTATATGACGCGGCGTTATGCTGTGTCAGCCAAATGCTGGCATAGCCGAACGTTCCAAAGCTGCATTATAGAAAGACTTCCAATTTGAAGACGTCTTCGTCATTTGAACGAGGCGGGCTCTTTTTGTATTTGTATTCAACTACGTCGAGGCCTACTACTAGAATATCTGAGGCGATGAAAACGGCTGAGTGATTCCTCTCGCGTGTTATTTACGTGTACCTTGGTCCCTTGCATGTGCGTGCCATTTCGGAGACGTGTAACTAAGGCGTAAGAATTTTTAGACATCACTTCCGATCAGCTGATCAGCGGACGCTGGAGAGGAGGTCGCCTTCTCTCCAGCGTTCGCTCTACTAAAGACAAAAAGGTGGGAGGAGCTCCCACTTCGCTCTTGACCTGACACCGACTATAGTGGCCCAGAGGTTCACAAAATCGGTTCTAAAAGATTATTCCCGAAGCGGTTACCAAGAACACAGTGCCAGTGCGGCTCCGCTATCTGCAAGCACGTACTTTCGTGGATCTTGCTGGCACCCTTTTAGTTCAAACGCATCCTCCTGGACGTCGGCTCCCTCCCGCATTCCCAAAGCCATACAAAAAATTAAAAAAAAAGCGCCGCGGTGATTTGTTTACACGTGCGCCACTTCGCAAAGCCGTATGGGCCGTCTCCTTTTTAGCATCGATGGTAGTTGCGAATTCGTAGCGATCAAGTTCGTTGCAGTCAACTAAGGCGGCTATTCCATCATCAGGAACTTTGGGCATTCGGCCCGTTTACATAGACATTTCGTAGCGTCGACATTATATCGAACGTACACAATCCTCAAACCACCCCAAACAAGCGTGGCCGAGAGGACCACCCGATACTAAAACTATAGTGGGAGCCAACTCTGCTGTTACTTTCTTCACCAAAACGCTTCGGTACTTCTGGCCTACGTAATCTCTATGAGTGATCCTACTTCCCGTTGTGGCGCTGCTCTTACTGAGATACATATCCACGAGGTGTTTTTTGGTTATTGTTTTATTCAGTTTGGAATACGCTTTTTTGGCGTTATCCTACGCAATATTGGTATTGGCGAAGTCCTAGTTTGACCCGCTTCATGCTTAAGCAAAGAGATGAGCTCCAGAATTTGGTTCCCATACCCCTAACTCTCGAATAAGACTTGTTCTGAAACTGGCATCTGGTTCGGAGCGCTTTGGGCAGAGGCTGAGCCCTTCGACAGGACATAGTTTTTTTTTTTTTTTTTTTTCGTTACTTTCTTTTTGCGATGAAATAATGCTATTTCAAGGTTAACAGCGCAAGATCAATCACACACACACCGACACACAAAAGGACAAACACAGGCGCTGACTTACAACTCGCTTTGTATTCTGTTGCTTCTGTGTTCTCGTCCTTGGGTTGACTCTTTCAATCTCCATGACCAGCACAATAGCAAGAGTACCGGAAACACTGCTAAATATGGCGAAAGTAATCCACGGAGAAGAGGAAAGAGAGGGACAAAGGACAAAGACCAATCTCCAACCACAGCTAGGTGACTGGCGCGCGAACGAAAAAATCCGCCTGGTCCGGTCGCGCACCAGTCACCTAGCCGTGTTTGGAGATCTGTCTTTGTCCTTTGTCCCTCTTGTTCCCCTTCTCCAGGGATTATTTTTGCCATTCTTGTCCAACTCGCTTGCACCTTTGCATTATAATCACTGCTAAATATGTTTTCGCTCCTCAGCGCAATTATCAGGATAAAAATTCGAGCTCTTTTTGAGCGTGTGTTAAGACTGCTAACACACTTGTCAGCGAGAAGCGAGAAGTGTGTTAGTAGTCCGTTCTTAACACTGTCTCAAAAGGAGCTCGAATTTTTGTCCTGATAATTGCACTGAGGAGCGCGAAGCATATTTAGCAGTGTTTCCCGTATTCGTGCTATTGTGTTGGTCATGGGGATGGAGAGAGTCAACCCAATGACGATAACAAAGAAGCAACAGAATACAAAAAAGAGTTGTAAGTCAGCGCCTGCGTTTGTCCTTTTGTGTTTCGGTGTGTGCGTGATTGATCTAAAGCCTGGTTCAGACAGTTGCGTTTGACTGCGTTGCGGCAGCGAGAAACCAGGACATCCCTGCTACTAATATCGCGTGCTAAGATGATTCTTTGAATTGGGTTGCACGCTTCACACGAAGCACAGATGTGCCGGTGACTCGCTTTCGGTTCTCGACGCAACGCAGTCAAACGCACTCAAACGCAAGTGTCTGAACCGGCCTTTAGGCTGTTAACCTTAGGATATAAGTCACCAACTCGCCCAAGTTTCGATCTTATCAAATAATGCTAGCTTTCATTTCGGGGACACGACGTATAAATAGGTGGGTCATGAGCACAAACAAAGGCTCGAAAGAAAAATTTGAATGAACACCCCCAACACCGACTCCCGAGAATTCTCGAAAGAACGACTTCTTTTTGAAACGAATAAAACACACTTCTGGACCACACGGTTTCGGTTTCAAAAAATATCTCAGGTCCCACAGACTCGAAGACCCTTTCAATTCAGCCGAAAACACTGAACGTGAGAACATTTAGAACTTCCGCCCGCCTAAAGGGCGCGCTCCCAAAGGCGTGGAAATTTCCCCCCGCTGTTTTGCATTCCCCGTACACTTTTCATTTCCAGCGATTTCCAGGTCACAAACTGAGCGGGACTGAGCGAGGGGCTTCCGCTCAAGTGGTCGAACGCAGCGCTATCGCCATCAATCGACGCTGGCGCCGTTGGGCGTCCTTTTCCGGAACCGGTTTCTTTTTCATCGCCACCCGCAAGCAGCAGCTTCGTTTGATGGCGAATGTGTCGCCTCCGTGTTAGTCGTAGCGTCTTGTGAACCTGCCCGATCTGCCCCATCCGTGTGCTTCGAAAACCGCGACAGGGTCCGGCCCACGCAGCATGGAATCATGATTTCGAAAGGAACGAATCCTCCGAAAAACTCCGAGCTCAAGTATGGAGGTAGCCCTACGAACCGCGGCCTTCACCACAAACCGGGCACGCTCCACGATGTAAGTCCTCTACCTCTGCCGATTGTGCCTCTCGTGTAACGCCGGATTGCCCATCTTCGATGGGCAGCCTTTCGAGAGCCTACTTTGTGCTCCGACTGCTTTGTGGCACCTCACCCGTGTGAATCATAGGCGCTTCGAACGGAGTCGGGCTGTTTGGGTGTGCCGCCCTCGCGATACCTCAGCTGTGTAGGTAGGTACGCGTCAATGGCAGTCGTCGTAAAACACATCGAAATTGCGTCCCTTGTGCGCGTTTTTCTTCTTTTCTGTGTATCGAGGACGCGACGTGCTGTTTTCGTTCCGTCCATTTCTTGGCCCTTGCATGTTTTGTTCTTCGGAGGCCCAGGGTTGTCCTCGCTTTCATTCTCGTGCACTGACGTTGTCGTGGAGGCTGCCTGTCGAGATGCCGAAAAGCCGCCCGTACGGGAATGTTTTTCTTTTCGCCCGGCATACCGGCTTTTGGTCACGTATCTGCGCGATCGAAACGATACAGAGGTACACAATGAGGCAAGACCGCAATTTTAGACTCGCCCAACTCTTCTTGTATTTCCTTTTTTTTTTTTTGGCCTTTTGTTTAGAAATGTTTATCTCGCATTTTACATTTATGTTTATATTTTCTATCCCGGTTCATTAAGCGCTTCCAGGTCATATCATATCCTTATGACATTTGTTTGCTTTTTGTATTTTTGTTGAAGTTTCTGCTGCTCAATACATGCAGACCTTTTCTTTTCAGCTCGGACGCGACACGCACCTTTGTAAGCGATGAAACAATGTTATACAAAGAAACAATGCGAGTTCTTTTTAGGGTGACCTCGTCGGTATTGGATAAACATTGTACGAAAGAAATCAAACATAATAGACAGAACACGCACACCACAGGTGCTGTTCGTGTTCTGTCTTTTATGTGTAAATCTTTCGTAAAATTCTTAAACAATAAAAGCTAGCTAATTCATCTACCAAACCAACGAATGACATCTGGCTCACCCCTGCAAAGGCCTGACCATTACGAAACTTTACCTTATGCCATTTCGGTCAATGCGCAGGCGAGCTGTGGAAGGTTGCCGTGATGATTCAACCCAAGACCGGGGCAGACGAAGATGTTTTTTGCAGTGGAAGACGAAATAGAGGTGCTATATCTCCCTGTTACTTTCTCTTCCCCTGTAAAACAATTTCCTCCTTCTGCCCACTTCTCGGGTTAAAATCATCATGGTATTACTTTCTGCTTTCTGAATCAACATTGATTTGTAAGAACAGTGCAGGCAAGCTAGTGGAAGTTTACTATGACGTAAAATAAACTGAGCCGGGTGACAAGAACGAGGTGTTACAGAAATTGAGTTGCAGACACCATTTTGAACCCGGCTAATGCATTTATTTATTTGCCTGCCCCATGTATTCTCCAATGTATCCAACAACGTACGCGAGGAGACGTCAAACACTCCTACAAACTACTTTTACGTTCAATTTGAATCGGAGCCACAACAAAACTCTGCGGTATTTCTTCTGGCTGTTTAATGTGCTCCTTCCAGCATATTAAGTGGCCATCTTTGATATTTTTGTTTGAAGCGTCTACTAAAGACGAGTAGCCAGAAATGCATCCAAGTGAGTTCAAGTCATGCATCAAGTCTGAACGGCCCTCCACCATTTTCATTTCAAAGAGCCATTAAGGAGCTTCGAGCTGCGAAAGCGAATGATAGACGAGTCGACTTGGAGCATCTGTGCAAACGTTTGTTCGAGGTGCCAGGGATCAGAGGAACGCTGCAGGGTAAATGTCATCCGGCAGCTGTACTGCTCTCGTTTTGTTTTGGCTGCATCCATAGCAGACAGAGTGTTCTGCTGATTGCTTTGCTCCACCTAGCTGCAGACAGGAGGGATGGGTTTTTGTCTCTCACCAGGAGTAAGTCAAGGCAAAAGGGGAGCTGTGATGTTGCAGCTTGACACCCAATTCCAGTCTATCGTGCCTCAATTTGCTTCATTCGTAACAATGTTTATTACGCTATAAGATTTATAATATCCTATGTCTTCATTATCTCTCGTGTTTCTTATGCTTATGGCTCAACCCCTTGGTGGAGCTACTTCACTTACACAAATTGACCATTTTCATTTTTGCAGCTCAATTTACGAATCTGGTTCATGTTTAATATATATATATATATCAGGGGTGGCCAGGCTGGCCTGGCCTAAGAGCCGCAAACAAAGCCACGGAACTTCTAAGAGCCGCGGGGGCGGGGAGGAGGGAGGGGAGGGGGGGAATTTAACTTTTGTTCAGAGTCTGACGGTACGTATGGGGGCACAAGGCTGTACGACTGTACGTATGGGAGTACAAGGCTGTCAAACTGCAAGCTGCAGTGTGCTTTATTCTGATATCCTTTCTTTTGTTTTTTCCTGGGGAAACGCGGAAAGGGGCGAAAGAGGGGGGGGGGGGGGGGGGGGGGCCCTTACGAGGGATCCGCGAGCCACACTTGGAGCAGCAAAGAGCCGCATGCGGCTCGCGAGCCGCGGTTTGGCCACCCCTGATATATATAGTGATCACTATTCCCATAATCTTTGGCCAAGTTCGGAGAACTCTCAGTTCTTCCGTAGGAATTGCTTTCGTTCGTCTGTCCTATAAATTACAAGCAAAGGTGCCGTAACTTCAAGACCACCATTATCCTGGGGGAAATGAATGGACCATCGCCCCATGTGTACTGTTTTTGTGCATAATCTGTCACGATCTCGGTAATTTTTAACTCCAATAGGGTGTGTTTCTTTTCTCAGTTTCCAAATTCGTCCGCCAGGCCGCGGCAGTTTTTGTTGCACACTTGGATAGGTGGTGGCTCTCTCCTTGGCGTCGTTCCCGCCAGGTAACTAGAGGCCACTTGGCGCTTTCCCCTTTTGCCTCATCCTTTCCGCCTTACCCCAACTTCGCTCCCTGAGGAGAGGGGAGCGGAAAGAGGGTTATCTTCCCCGCAGAAAACCCATGTTGTATGTCAAGAAACGAAATGGGGAATATTGCGGTTTTAGGGAACTAGACGGAAGTATTTCCAACTCCACGAGAAGCAGTTTGTGTTAGCCCGCTCTTTTAAAAACCCCAACACGAATGAAACTCAAATGAACCCCTAACCCAGTTAACTGAAACGTATCGCCTCATTTGCCCTCAGCCGCACCGATTCTTTGGGCCCGAATTTCTCTGTCGGTGAGGGTGGTGTTGGAACAGTCGACGTTGCCATGGGTGTCGGAAAGAAACCCCTCTGTTTTGTGGCCGCAAGTCCTCCCTCCGTGGGCCCGAGTTTTCTGGAGTGGACGTTCTCCGAACCTGGCCGTCCACTGTGCAGCCGATAAGGTCGCCCTGAGCAAGTTATCTTTGAGGCACTCCCACTGCCAATTCGAGCACCCTCTTTCGACAGCGTTCGAGCCGATTGTTGAGACCATTTGGACCTTTTTCTTTTGGTCGAAGTACTCGTAAACCTTATTCACCGAGACAGACAAGAGTCAGAACAGAAGCCGAGGCTTTATTGGACTAAAGTAGAAGTTTGAGCTAGTTGGTATTTCGTGATTAAAGATTAAAACAGCGCAAGGACACGGACAAGAACAAGAAGGTAGAAGCGCCTTGTTTGTCTACCTTCTTGTTCTTGTCCGTGTCCTTGCGCTGTTTTAATCTTTATTGGACGCGAAGTCGTTCCTTCTCCGAGTGCGAACCAACTGTTGTGGCCTTTTTGTGACAGGGTGCCCCGTCTCGCATGTGAAGGACTGTTTGCAGTTCAAGAAACTCTTCCCCAAACGCTTGTCTTCTCCGCGTCTAAGATTAGCAAAATTGTATGGTTGGATTTACAGGTACCCGAATTACCACTAATTGCGTTTAGAAGTCACTTTGTCATTTGGATTGCTTTTCCTCTATAAACTATTGCCTAAGCGACAGAAATTCAGCGTCTCCGAGATTCCGTCAGGTCCCATTTCAGAAGTATACACGTTCGGGCAATTTCATCAAATTACCGGCGTACGCGTAGTTTTTTTTTAACAAATTGCTTCGAGATAAGGTGACTGCTTGAGTTTTCCCCTCGACGTATTTCTGGTGAAATGAAATAGAGAAGTGACCGGAGGCTGTTTGTGTTCCCTTGTGGCGACAACCTCGGAGTCTGTACTGCTGGTTGCAGGTCGTCCCGTGTCGGACTCGTTTCGAATCTGCGGAGCGAAGCCTTGTGATGAGGAAGTCGCTGATTAGGTTGGGTTGCGTTGGCTCGTCACTTTTGCCGGCCACAAATCGGATCAGCTGGCCGCTCTCCGGCCAGACAGGGTCGGCACTGTTTGATCCGGTTAGGCAGCTTATCTCCCGTCTGACTGTCCCCGCGCAAGCAAGCACGACGATTGCGCCACTGCAGCCTGGCTCGTACACGTGCGAAAAAATGAGTCGGGGCCCCAGTAACCTTCTTTCCGCCGGCCCAACACCAGCGGAGCTCGTGGAGTCGGCCGAACTTTGCCAAGGCCGACGGGTGGCCTGACCGGTGTCTCTCTTCTTTTACAAACTTTCTCCTCCGTTGCCTCCTTCCGATTGTCATCATTCGGAGCGCCTTCCCCGGGTCTGGTGTTGACCGTGGTCTGCTGCGCCTCGTCCGCTGCAGGGCCTCTGCCTGTGCGTGTTTGCCGGCCGCTTTTCCTGCTCTCGGATGGATATTTGGCCGTCCAAGATGATTCCGCACGTCGTGAACAGGATGTACGTGAAGCGGGTAGGTGCTACCCTCTGTTGCCACGCCATCTCCATCGGTCGGGGAGTCGACGCGACAAAGAATATTTCGGGGAAGTTATGCAGCGTAGCGTGGCTTGGAACCTTGCGACAACGACCTGGAAGATATTGAACTCTAACGTCCTCAAGCAGCCTTACGTTCGATTTTAGTTCGTGGCACGCTTTTGCTGAATATTTCGGAACGCAGCTGTTTGCTGTAGCGTAGTGTTGACAGTAAACGTACAAGACAAGCGCGACTCAATCTCCTCCCACGAGCTCGCAGGGAAAGTTCATTTCTGGCCAACGG